TTTGTTCTCTTGAGCAACGAGGTGTCTGCCAGAATGTACCTCTGTGGTCATTGTTTTTATAACTAACAAATGGTTATCATTTTCTGGCATTGCTGGAGGTTAAAGCTGGGCCTCACATGTGCTAGGTAATCATATAATTCTATGTTTGAATTATAGTTCCAGCCCTAACTACCAAATTCTTTAATAGCCACTCCTTGAGATTGCAAATACACTATTTTTGCTTAAACTTTTATATCGTTAATTTTAATATTCATTGACGGATCTTGCCTGTGCTTATTACTAATCTTGTGTCTCTCTCACACACACACCATAGACAAAGTGTAGGATACAAAACACAAAGAGAAAATATAAAAAAACCAGCTAGAGTCAAAAGGAACACTAAATTCTCAAGAATTAGGAAAAAGACTATAGCAACAGTCTTATTAGGTACCGCACAAACCAGAAGACAGCCGTGTGGTCATATCTGAAGGGCTAAATTATTTTCTAAAACTTGGCAGCATAGACTTCTGTCAGTCAGGATTATTTCCAAAAGTAGAGGAGAGGGCCGAGGAGACGGTGTAGCGGGTAAAGGACTGTGTGCAAGGGTGACAGCTGGAGTATGGGTCACCAGCATGCACAGAAATGCTGGGCAGGAATGTGGCCCACCTGACACCTAGTGCTTAGGAGGTAGAGAAAGACCATGCTTGGAACAAGTTCAGTAGCCGAACTAACCATATATGTGAGCTCTGGGTTCAAGTGAGAGACACAGCTTCCATATATAGGTGGAGAACAATTAGAGTCTCTGGCTTCTGTATGTACAAACATCCACATACATGTACCTACACATGTGAACACACACACTCACACAGAAACTCACACACAAATACAGAAAGAGGAGGCGAAGCAAAGACTTTCATCAGACAGAACATAACTGAATTAATTCACTGCCATCAAAGGTGCCCCAAAAGGAATGTTACAGAAACTTCCCAACCATTTGAAAATAATTCAAGATGGGAGGAGAACCATTTCTGTGTAGAAGAACTGTAACTAATATCTGTAAGTAGACTTAGAGCAATAGAGAATCGCCATCAGAACACAGAAGTAAATAATTTCCAGGCATATTCTCAAACCCCTGTCAACCCAAACCTCGGCTAACTGGCCCATAGAGCGGGCTCATTACTCTCTGTATTTCAGAAAAGGCTAAAGAGAATTTGAAAATAAGTACCTCCTACTCCACAGTATGGTATGATGTCCCGCGCTACCTTCTCGCCAGCAAGAACGACGCGGGGCACTTAGGATACTTCTGCAGTAAAGCTTTAATGCCCCTTGGGAGAGCGAGCATCAGCCAACATGGCGGAGACCCAGAATGAGGGGAACCCAGCCCTTATAAAGGAAACAGTCCTTGCTTCTGACGTGTCACTCTTGGATTGGTCCGCTGCCCATTATCCCAGGTGATGCCTCGGAAGTAGGCAGGGACGCAGCGGTAGAGAGTTACCAAGCACGTGTGCTGGGATTAAAGGCGTGTGCTACATCACCTTGAACTCACAGAGGTCTGTCTGTCTCTGTCTTCCAGGCATCGGGACCAAAGGCGTGTACTACCACGCCTTGAGGTTGCAGAGGTTAATCTGCCTCTGCCGCCCAGGCATCAGGACTAAAGGCGTGTACCGTCACACCTTGGGGTCACAGAGGTCAATCTCTACCTTCGTTCCTAGAAGCAATGGAGAATGTGGTCCGGCCCTCCACAGTATGAACGTCAAAATATTACAAATATGAATGAGTAAGCTTCAAGATCTTAAAATTGTGTGTGTGTGTGTGTGTGTGTGTGTGTGTGTGTGTG